CAGATGAGGCATTGTACAACTGTACACTTGAAATCTATGTAATTTTATTAACCAATGTCTCCCAAATAAATTCTATAAATGTTTAAAAAACGGGCTAAGGACTTGAAAAGACTTTTCTCCAAAGAAGGCATAAATGGTCAACATGAATATGAATAAATGTTCAATCATCATGGAAATGCAAATCAAGTCACGAATGAGACACTACCTCACACGTGTCAGGGTGGCTACTATTAAAAACAGACAAGTATTGATAAGGATATGGAAGCATTGGAACCCTTTTACACTGTTGGTGGGAATGTAAAGTTGTGCAGCTGCTGTGGAAAGCAATATGGACATTCCTTCAAAATTAAAAATAGAACTACCATACGATTCAGTCATTCTACTTCTGGGCGTTTGTTTAAAACCAGTATCCCAAAGAGATATTTGTGCTCTCATGTGTATTGCCGCATTATTCACACTAGCCAAGATGTGGAAACAATCTAAATATCCACTGATACTTAAATAGATAAAGAAAATGTGGTAATACTATTCAGCCTTAAAAAAGTAAATTCTGCTCTGTGTGACAAGGATGACCCTTGAGAACATTATGCTAAGCAAAATAAGCCAGTCACAGAAAGACTAATACTGCATGATTACACTTCTATGAATTATCTAAAATAGTCAAATCCAGCCCTGGCCGATTTGGCTCAGCGATGAGAGCATTGGCCTGCGGTCCAGAGAGACCCGGGTTTGGTTCCCACTAAAGGCACGTACCTCGGTTGTGGTTTGTCCCAGGAAAGTTTTAGGAGGGTAGATTTCATGTTAAGTATTCTTGCCACAATAAAATAAAATGAAGAGGAAAACCCTTCTGGGAATTTAATTTTGATTGTATTGAACCTACAAGTCAATTTAGAAGAACTTCTATATTTATAATATTGAGTCTTCCAGTATGGCGGTATATACCTTCGTTTATTGAGGTTTTCTTTAATTTTCTGTGGAGAACTCATCCACCTTTCATTAGATTTATTTTAGGTATTTTATATGTGTGAAGCCATTTTCTTTTTTTTTTATTTATTTTTAAAATTTTGAAAATATTTCAAACATATACAGATATAGAAAAAATATAACACATATTTAAGTATGCACTAATATTGAAATAATACTAACAGTTTGCTATATCTGCTTCAGATTTCTCTTTTTTATTTTATTTCTTTATTTTGTAAATAATTTTTATTTTTATTTATTTTTTTAAATTAATTAATTTATTTTTATTACAGATGTTTCTCCCTTTTCCCCAGTGCGAAGCTATTTTAAATGTCTGCAGTTAATGCTGTGGTCCATCGCCCAAGTCCCCATTCAATTCCCTCAGCTGCTGGGAGTGCTGCTAGCAGACAGGGCTCAGTTGACAGGCCTTGTCTGAATTTGTTTGGTTGAAGAAAACTGTCTCACCCAAAACTGGCATCCCTCGTCCAATGACTGATCAATGATGGAGTGTAAATTTAGGTTTGCCCCTTTCCCCCTAGTCCAGAAACCTCTGAAGGGCCATACCAGTTCCAGATCTATGAATTTGGCTAGGGCTTTTTGGAGGTTGATTTTTTTTTCCATTGCACATATGTGGAGCGCAAAAGCACTTCCTCATAAAAATCCTGCGTGATAATCTATGTCTCCCAGAATGCTTGATGAGAAAACCAACCTGGGCCTGTATCACTGTTTCCCTTGCATTACTGTATTGGCTTGAACCTTCAGGACAATGTTGACCAAAGCAGTGATAGCACCTATCCTCGTCCTCGTCCTAGTCTCAGAGGGAAAATCTTCTATCATTTCAATTTAGGTGTGTTTGCTGTGGGTTTTGTTGTTTTTTAAAAGACAATGTTTATCATTTTTAAAGTTTTCTAGTTCTAGTTACTAAGAGTATCACATAGTTTTCCTGCATCTATTGAAATAATCATTTGATTTTCCCCCTTTATTCTTTGAATGTGGTGTTAAACTAGCCCTGCTCTTGTGAAATAAACCACACATCGTCCTGATGGCAGCTATAGCCTTATGAAAGATTTCTTTATTTCCTCCAATTTTTATTAATTTATTTTTGTTATAGATGTTTCTCCTTTTCCCCCCTAGACCCCCTCCTCCCCATCCCACCCTCCCCCATCCCCTTAGCATTGTTGTCTATGTCCATTGGTTATGCATACATGCATATAAGTTCTTTGGTTCTTCTCATCCATCCCCACCCCCCAACACACACACACACACACACACACTGAGGTTTGTCAGTCTGAACCATACTCCTTTCTATGTCTCTGGGTCTATTTGGTTCACCAGCCCACCTTGTTCATTATATTCCACAGATAAGTGAGATCATGTGATATCTGTCTTTCTCTGATTGGCTTATTTCACTTAGCTTTTGTGAAAACTGTTTTTATTGATTTTTAGAGAGAGAGGAAGAGACAGAAAAACATCCATGTCTGAGGGTGAAACATCGATCAGTTGCCTCCTGCACACCCCCTACCTGGGATTGAGCCCTCAACCCAGGCATGTGCCGTGACCAGGAATTGAACCAGCAACCCTTTAGTGCATGGGACTATGCCCAATGAATGAGCCACACTGGCCAGGGCAAAAATATTTTGTTTTTAAAGTATTACTAAATTATTTTTCAATTACAGTTGTTATACAATATTATGTTTTAGGAGCAGAACCTAGTGATTAGACATGTATATAACTTATGAAGTAATCACCCCAATAAGTCTAGTACACATTTGATACCATATATAGTCATTAAAATAGTATTGACTAGATTCCTTATGAGGTGCCTTATATCCCTGTGACTATCTTATAACTACCAATATATACTTCTTTATCCCTTCAACTTTTTTACCTAGTCTCCCCCACTCCCCTTGGGTATTCATCAGTCTGTTCCCTATGTGTATGTCAGTTGCTGAGATATTTGTGTTAAAAATCTCCCACGATGACTATGTATTTACTAATGTCTTCTGTAATTCCTGGAATTTTTGATTTATATATTTTGAAAGTATGTTATTAGGTACATACAGATTTCGAATGATTATATCTTCTTGTTGAATTGTACCTTTTATTATTATAAAGTGCCCCTCTTTATCTCTAGAAATGCTTTTTACCTTAAAGTCTATATTGCTTGACATTAATATTGCTACTTTCTTCTGGATGCCATTTGCCTGGTATGTCTTCCATCTTTTAAATTTTTAACCTCTACATTTTAAATACATCTCTTGTAAACAGATATCACTTTCTTTTTCAATACAGTCCATCTCTTCTAACTGGCACATTTAATCAATTTTCATTGAGTGTAATTAATTATATACTTGCCTTAAATTTACCATCAAACTCTTTGCATTCTACTTGTCCTGCCTGCTTTGCACCTTTTCTCTCCTTATTACCTTCTTTTTGATTTTTTTGTCTCATTTTTTACCCTTTGTTAACTTTGTAGTTCTACATTATTTATGATTGTTTTTGTGTATATTCTAAAGATTACAACATGAATTCTTGACTTATTATGGTTTGAGATAAGTTAGTTCTTTCACCTCTTTCTATACAGTGCAAAGGCCTTAGAACACTTTAATTCCATTTTCCCCGGCTGACAATATGCTATTGCTGTTTTATAGTTTAATTACCCAAATAATTTAAACCATACATGACATTGTCATTGTTGTTGTTTTACAGTCAATATTTATTTAGATTCCCCAATGTTTACCCTTTTCTTTTCTCTTCTTTTTTGTTTTCAGGCCTCTGTCTTGAAAATTTTCCTTCTGCTGCAATAGCACCCTTTAACTTCCCTTTAGTTTGTATCTGCTGTGAATAACTGTGTTTATTTCACCTTCATTTCTGAGGGACATTTTTACTAGATCTAGAATTGTAGGTTATCAGTCATTCTTCTTAAAATATGTTTAGGGTATCATATCACTGCTGACTCACTTCTATTATTTCTAATGGGAAATCAGCTAAAAAATGTATATATGCTTCTTTCTCTTGCTTCTTTTGATATTTTGCTTTATCTTTGGGTTTTAGTAATTTTACCATGATGTTCACGGGTGTGATTTTTATTGTATTTTTAAAAACCACTTTGAATATATACAAAATTATTTGAGAGAGAGGGGGGGGGAGGGGGAGAGAGAGAGAAAGAGAGAGAGAGAAACATTGATGTGAGAGAAAAACCTTGATCAGTTCCCTCCTGCAAGTGCCCAGACCAGGGATTGAACCACAACCTTTACTGAAATACAGGATGATGCTCCAACCATCTGAGCCACACCAGCCAGAGCTGTTAGTATTTCTTTAAATGCTGTTCCTGACCTATTCTTGGTCTACTTTATAAAGATTTGGTTACAACCTCTTTTAGACATTTTCTCTGTAACCCTTACACCTCTGACACATTATTTTCTATATTACATCTCTTTTTCTCTCTGTATTTCCTTCTGAATATTTTTTTTCTGATCTATCTTCCAATTCACTCTCTTTAGCTTAGCTTTATTTTTCATTAAACTCACCCAGTGATGTTTTAATTTCACTTTTGATACATATTTATATTTATTGTTTTTTTAAATGTTTATTTTTGTAGAATTAGAATTGTACATTTGAATCCTGTATAATCTTACTAACCAATGTCATCCCAATGAATTTAATTTAAAATAGAGGGGAAAGCAGTGGTCTAAGACCACTCAGCATGGCTTGTCTGTTAAAGAAAGAAAATCTCAGACACACATACATGCAACCAAAAGCAACAACAACCAAAACCAAAAACTCCACTGTTTTTCAACAGTACCCTCAAGCTACAACAAACACAAATTGAGAATTATTTTGCCCTACTTCCTTTCTTAATACAAGAGGTGCCCGTCTTGAATGTGTGTGTACATGTCTATTCAGCAGTTTACCGTTGACGTGTTTGTATACATATCAGTGTCACCCACACAAGTGTTTCCTTGTAACAGCTCTTATTTTATTGACCGTGGTGTCCTCCCCCCCCCCCCCCGGCCCAAAAGTGCTCTGTTGTTCTCTCAGCACTTGGAGATGGTGATCTTCATGCTCAGGTTGCCGCCTTCGGTGAAGTGCTGCACAGTGCCAGCATCAAAAATCAAGCAGTCACTCCTCCTGAAGGCCTCCTCCGGGTCCTCGAGCAGGGACAGAGGCGGGGCTTCCCACACCAAGTACCGCCTGTGCTTGGCCAGCTTCAGCTGGTAGGTGAACTGCTGGGCCTGGCCGGGGGCTCCGATGAATTGAACTACAGAGAAAAACTGCTGGTAGCCCTGGTAGTTCTCCCTTTTCCCCAGGACCGTCATGAAGTGACCTCCGTGGCAGGACTGCACCATCACCCAGTCCAGGGCGCCGGAAAGGTGCACGTAGGAGGCCAGGAACACGACCTCTGCCCCCTGCATGGACGTGATGACTTCATGCTTGTTTAAATGGGCCGACATGGTATGCAGGGGGCCTCGCCAGGTACAGACAATGCCGGGGCACGGGCAGCGGTAGGGCCGGAAGTCGCACAGTTCCTCGTGGGCGGCTTTGCCGGTGAGCTGCATGGTGGCCGTGCAGCCGTTGTAGGCGTATTGGCACGGGAACAGCACGGAGTCGGCCACCCTGTCCATGGCTAGGTTGGGGATGTGTCCCAACGGGCCCCGGCAGGTCGGGCAGCAGGTCACCCTCGGACGACAACTGTTGCAGAGGAGGTGGCCGCTGTAGCACTGGAAGATGGGCGGTAAGACGGACCCAAAGCACACAGGACACTCAAACAGAGAGGCAAGGTCAGCACTGGGCACAGCTGCATCTTCCGGGCGGTCGGAGGGTGCAGGAGGGGGCGCTGGGCCGTCGGAGGGTGCAGGAAGGGGTGCTGGGCCATCGGAGGGCGCAGGAGGGTGCACCGGGCCGTCGGAGGGTGCAGGAGGGGGTGCTGGGCCTTCAGAGGGCGCAGGAGGTGGCGCCCTGGGGCTGCGTCGGCTCATGGCTGTGGGCACACAGGGCGCTGCCCAATGCGCACCCGCCCCTTCGCTGGTCGGCTACCTCAGGAAGCCCACACCTCTTCCCGGACTCCACGGGTGGGTTGGGTGGGTCGTCACCCGGACACTCACGGGAAATGGTCTGCTGCCGCCTCGGCCTGCGCCGCCACAGCTGCCCAAGCACACCAACAACGGTTGCCTTGGCTACGCCCTGGCCACCCAACCGTTGCCATATCCGGGTCCTCGAGCCCCTGACTCGCCCCCCAAGGCCAGCCCAGCCATTGCCACGTCCGAGTCCTCGAGACCCCCAGGCACGCTCCCCAGTTCAGCTGTTACTGTGTCCGGGTCCTCGAGCTTCCCGCATAACCACCCAGCCTAGCCGTTGCCACATCCAGGTCCTCGAGCCGCCATCATGCCCTGCCAGCCCAGCCGTTGCCACATCCGGGTCTTCGAACCGCCATCATGCCCCGCCAGCCCAGCCGTTGCCACATCCGGGTCCTCGAGCTCCCATCATGCCCCCCCAGCCCAGCCGTTGCCACATCCGGGTCTTCGAGCCTCCATCATGCCTCCCCCCCAGCCCAGCCGTTGCCACATCCGGGTCCTCGAGCCTCCATCATGCCCCCCAGCCCAGCTGTTGCCACATCCGGGTCCTCGAGCCCCCTTCATGCCCGCAAGCCCAGCCGTTGCCACATCCGGGTCCTCGAGCTCCCATCATGCCCCCCCAGCCCAGCTGTTGCCATATCCGGGTCCTTGAGCCCCCTTCATGACTCCCAAGCCCGGCCGTTGACATGTCCAAGTCCTCGAACCCCCCCAGCATGCCCCCCTAGCCCAGCCATTGCTGTGTCTGGGTCCTCGAGCTCCCCCCTACCCCCCTAGCCCAGATGTTGCTGTGACTGGGTCCTGGAGCCCTCATCCTGTACCCCCAGCCCAGCTGTTGCCATATCCGGGCTCTCCAACCCTTCCCCCATCCCCTATTGCCATGTCTTGGTCCCCAAGCCCCTCCCCCAACCGTTGCCATATCCGGGTCCTGGAGCCCCCTTCATGCCCCCCCAGCCCTGCCGTTGCCACATCCCGGTCCTCGAGCCCCTCCCCCCTCCCCTGTTGCCATGTCTGGGTCCCCAGCCCCTCCCCCACACCATTGCCTTGTCCAGATCCCCAAGCCCCAAGCCCTTTCCCCCATGGCCATGTCCCGGTCACCAAGCCCCTCCCCCATGTCCAGGTCCTCAGCCCCCCACCATGGCCACGTCCAGGTCTCTGAGGCCCCTCCCCCCAGCCCAGCGCGCACCCACTCCTGCTCCCGCTCAGGACCACCCACCACGGCAGGCGCCATCTTCTTTCCGTCTGCCTCCTCCTCCTCGCCCCTGTTTTTTGTTTCCAGAATGTTCCCTGGGACCTTCTGAAAAGTAGTGTTCAGGAGTATTTCCAATGAGCGTTTTCCTGAACGCAGGAAGCAGTTCTGTGAAATTCTATCATCTCCTTTCCGCGGGGGCTGCGTCCGTGGTCTGTGGTCTCTCCTGATTTTCCATTCATTGTGCCTTTGTGCTCCTCGGCCTGGTTGGATCGGGCTCCGGGGCCGGCTTGGTAGCTGCAAGACTGGGATGGAGATGGTGTGAGGCCTGGGCTTTCTCATCTGCACCCACAGAGGGCGGATGCTGCCCTGGGCCGGTGGTAGGCACCCGAGTCCCGGACGGCCTGCATCCAGCGCAACCTCGGGGTCACTGGATGCTGGCCCCGAAGGCTGATGGAGCCTTCCTGTCCGTGAGGAGCCTTTCTCCGTGGGGCCGAACACCCGAGCGTGGGTCTGGGGGTCCCCTCCTGAGGGCTCCCGCGTGCAGAGGTCTGGGGCTGGCGCTTTCGCCCTTCAAGAGCGCGGCTGTCTGTCCGCGGACTCTTGTGTGGTCAGCCAAGGCCCTCAGACGAGAACAGCCTCGTCGGTCTCGTTCTGTCCTGCCTCTGGGCTCCACAGTCCTGTAAGGCCTTGTTCGCTCTCGGGTGCCTTCACATACACTCATGACTTCTATTCTATCACGGTGTTCTGGTTTGCAGCAGGAAATGGGGTCTGCAGGAGTCTTCCCTAAGGAGAAGGGGACTCGGGCCCTCCTGTCTTCAACGAGAAGGGAGGGATCGCCTCCGAGGCATCCAGCACTGTACAAGCCCTGGAGCTGAAACTCTAGAACTGCTGACAGAGGATTTTCGCCATTGTGGAGCTTACAGCAAGTGAGCAGGCACATGACATACAAGGTGATGATGCAGTGAGAAAGAGAACTACAGGATGATCTGGAGCACTAAGGAGGAATACCTGGCCCAGACTTTTGAAATCAAGGAATGCTTTCTAGACAAAGCATCTTTTGAGCTTAGACCCGAAAAATAAGTGTGACTTGTCTAGATAAGACTGGGTTAGGCAGAGGGAATAACATGTACAAAGCACTGGAAGAGGAGAGAGAGAACATAACGTATTCAGGAAACAGAAAACTCTATAAAGCTACAGTGATCAACACAGTATGGTAGTGGCACAGCAAGGGCATATAGATCAGTGGAACAGAATTGATTATTTAGAAACAACCCTAACATTGATGGTCAGTTAATTTTTTCTTTTATTCTCACCGAAGGACATTTTTGCATTTATCTTCAGATAGAGTAGGAGGGAGACAGGAAGGAAGAGAGAGAGAGAAACATCGATGTGAGAAAGACACATAGACTGGTTGCCACCCACACGACCCCAACCGGGACTGACGATAAACTGCAACCAAGGTACATGCCCTTAGTGGGAATGGAACCCGGGACTCTCTGGTCTGCGGGCCGACACGCTAACCACTGAGCAAAACCGGCCAGGGCAATGGTCAGTTAATTTTGACAAATGTACCAAGACAGTTGATTGGGCAAAAAGATACTGTGTTCAACAAATGGTGCTGGAACATATTTATATCTACATGTAAAAAGATCAACTTAGACCTCACTATATACCATGCCCAAAAATTAACTTACAAAAGGAAACTAGAATTTTGGTGGTGAGCACCCAGTAGGGTTTACAGATATTGAACCATATTGTTGTATACCTGAGATTTATATAATACTGTTAACCATATCACCTCAATAAATTTAATTTTAAAATGTATGATAGGCATCATTTTAAGTGTCAAAACAGTAAAACTTAAAAAAAAAATCTTTATTGATTTTAGATAGAAAAGAAGGGAGAGGGAGAGATAAAAACATCAATGAGAGAGAACATCAATTGCCTGCCTCCTGCATACCCCCCACTGGGGACCTGTCCCACAACCTGGGCGTGTGCCCTGACCAGGAATCAAACCGGTGACCTCTTGGTGCATGGGTCGATGCTCAACCACTGAGCCATACCCACTGGAGAAAACAATAAAACTTTTAGAAGAAAACATAGGGGAAACTTTTCAAGACTTTGGACTGGGATAGAACTTAGAAATGACACCAAAAACAGAGTACAAAAACAAATGAAACTGATAAACTGGACCTAATCAAAATACAAAAAAACCCAAAAACTGTGCTTTTCAAAATTATTTAAAAATGGAATAAATATGATAGACTGGGGTAAATGGATTAAGAAGTACAAAGTGGTTGTTACAGAGTAGTCATGAGGAAGTAAAGTACAGCATAGGGAATATAGTCAGTAATGTTGCAATAACTATGTATGGTGTCAGATGGGTACGTGATTTATTGGGATGATCACTTAGTAAGTTATATAATGTGTAATCACTGGGGCATACACCTGAAACTAATATAATATTGCATGTCAACTGTAATTGAAAAATTAAAAAATGATTTAAAAAATGAAAATAAGACCCTGGCCAAGGAGATCAGTTGGTTAGAGCATCATCCCAAAACACCAAGGTTGCAGGTTCGATGCCCAGTCAGAGCACATGTAAGAATCACCCAATTAATGCATAAATAAGTGGAACAACAAATTGATGCTTCTCTCTCCCTCCCTGATCCTTGGATGGGGCACATGCAGGAGGCAACCAGTTAATTTATCAGTCTTCTCTCTCTCTTTCTCTCTCATTTTCTCTGTTCCTCTCTCTCATCAATAAAAGCATGTCCTCCAGCTACATGCAAAAAAATGAAACTAGACCATCAACTTACACCGTACACAAAAATAAACTCAAAATGGATAAAAGACTGAAATGTGACTCGTGAACCCATAAAAATTCTAGAACAAAATGTAGGCAACAAAATTTCGGACATCATACTCAACAGAATTTTCACTGATACATCAACTAAGGCAAGAGAAACAAAGGAAAAAATGAACACATGGGACTACATCAAACCAAAAAGCTTCTGCACAGCGAAAGAAATAACCATCAAAATGGTAAGGCAACCCACTATATGGGAGAACATCATTGCCAATGATACATCAGATAAGGGGTTAATTTCCAAAATATATAGAGTACTCATACAACTCAACAAAAGGAAGACAAAGAACCCAATTGAAAAATGGGCAGAGGAACTAAATAGACACCTCTCCAAACAGGACATACAAATGGCCAAGAGACATATGAAGAAATGCTCAACATCACTAATCATCAAAGAGATGCAAATTAAAACAATAATGAGGTATCACCTCACACCTGTCAGAATGGTTGCCATCAACAAATCATCAAACAAGTGCTGGTGAGGGTGTGGAGAAAAGGGGACTGTAGTGTACTGCTGGTGGGAATGCAGACTGGTGCAGCCACTATGGAAAACACTATGGTGTTACCTCAGAAAATTAAAAATTGAACTTCCATTTGACCCAGTGATCCTGCTTCTAGGAATATACCCTAAGAAGCCTGAAACACCAATCAGAAAGAATATATGTACCTCCATGTTCATAGCAGCACTATTTACAATAACTAAGATCTGGAAATAGCCCAAGTGTCCATCAGTAGACAAATGGATAAAAAAGCTGTGGTACCTATACACAATGGAGTACTATGCAGCTGTAAGAAAGAAAGACCTCTTATCCTTTGAGACGACATAGGGACTTGGAAAGTATTATC